ATGAAAAATACAGTAAAAACAGTAATATTGTGAAATATTACCATTTCAAATGAGTGTTTTCTATGTAAACATTGTAAAATGTAGTTTATTTCTGTGATCAAAGCTGAATTTTCAGCATCATTACTCCAGTCTTCAGTGTCACATGATGCTTCAGAAATCATTGTAATATGCTGATTTGCTGCTTAAGAAACATTTCTGATTATTATTAATGTTGAAAACCATTTTTGCTGTGTAATAATTTTGTAGGATACACTACCATTCAAAAGTTTGGGGTAAGGATTTTATTAAAGAAGAAATTAATACTTTTATTCAGCAAGAATGTAATAAATTGATTAAAAGTGACTATAAAGACATTTAAAGACAGTTTCCACAAAAATAATAAGCAGCACAACTGTTTTCAACATTGCTGATAATCAGAAATGTTTTTTGAGCAGCAAATCAGCATATTAGAATGATTTCTGAAGGATCATGTGACACTGAAGACTGGAGTAATGATGCTGAAAATCCAGATTTGATCACAGCAATAAATTATATTTTAAAATATATTCAAATAGAAAACAGCTATTTTAAATGGCAATAATATTTCACAATATTATGGTTTATTTTAATCCAAATAATGCAGCCTTGGTGAGCAGAAGAGACTTCTTTAAAAAAAATATTAATAATACCAAACTTTTGAACTGTAGTGAATCATCTTGTGAATACAATCAATGTGTGATGAGAAAAAATAGTGATTTTTATTTTCTAAATGGGTCTAATTTGCATATAGACTTTTAAGCAGTTTAACCACAACTTTGTTTTATAAACATGTTTCTATGGTTGCATCATGCTATCCCACACACCACTGAAGCTATTTATTGATATTTGCTGTGTTTTACTTGGTTACATATATGAATCATTTGTTCGAAGAGCAATATGAATATGCATCTTGAAAACTGCATATTAAAGGAATAGTTCATCCAATAAATGAAAACTGTCATCATTTATTCACCATTGTGTCTTTTCAAACCTATATGACTTTTTCTGCTTTGAAACACACAAGATGATTATGAAAGAATATTCATGCTGATTTTTTTTCCCGTTAAGCTGCATAAAAGTGGTCCATTTGCAGCACAAAAGTCATTTTGGACTAGTTTTATGGTGCTTTATTATCATTTATTTGAGACTGAAAGTCACTATGCTTTTGTTATATGGAAAAGAGCAGCGTGAACATTCTTCAAAACATCTGCTTTGTTGTTTCTCAGAAAGAAAAGTCATACAGGTTTATAATTATATTAAGGTGACTAAATAATGACAAAATATTCATTTTTGGGCACACTGTACCTTTAAGTTTGAGTCTTGGCAATATATTCTGTCTGTATAACATCAGATGTAGAGAAAGGTTTCTGAGTTAACTTTTTATTTTTTCTTCCTCACGACTGTCAATTGTCAGACCACTGTGTGTGAGGAGCACTCACTACCTGAATGTGAATTATTCTGCTTCATTCAGCTTGTGTATCACCCTCGAACCCTGCAGGACATTTCAGAAGCAGGTTTTGAAGCTGTGCCGGTGGCCATTTTGGCTCCCTTAGCCCCGCCTTAAACTGTGACCCGCCCCTCTAATAAGAGTTTGATTGGACCTTTACCTCTGACAGTTACAGGAGGTGAATGACGGCTTTGTCGAAAAAGGGAAAAGCTCCAAAGTTCCAAAGCAGGAAAATAGAGAGTAGTAGAGAAATTTAAAGGGATAGTTCACCCGAAAATTAAAAATGATCATCTTTTATTAGCTCTCATGTCATCTGAGATTTTTGTTATGTAAAAATGGCAATACGATGTTTGGCAGAATGTTTATGCTGCTCTTTTCTCTACAATGTAAGTGACACATTAAATGTGCACTAAAAAAAAAGTTGTACTAAATAAAGAATGTTTTACAAGAAAATACTATTTCAGTCTTTCTACTTTAAAATGTCTTGTTTAATGCAATGCTACTTCCTGTTTCTTTGTAATTATTTGTGAAATTGACTAACAATTTCTGAGTTAAAATTGTTTCAGTGCGTGTTTTTTCCAGTGTAGTATTCTGAAGCCATATGATAGCTTTGTGTGTGAAAAATGACCATAAAGCTCCATAAAAATAGTTCGCATGACTTTGTTTCTCTCATTTACACTGAAAAAAGTTAGTAGTTTTCACTCAGAAATTGCTAGTAAATTTCACAAATAATTACAAAGATCAACAGCAAGTAGCATTGAAATAAACAACATTCTGAAGTAGAAACACTGAAATAGAATTTTCTTGTAAAACCTACTCCAATAATCTTTATTTACAACTTTGATAAATAATTTTGACAGTGTAGCTTCATTGTTGAGAAGAGCTGCACAGACATTCTGCAAAAATTTGTACTTTTTGTTTGAACTGTTCCTTTAAGATGCTTCCCTCTGTCAAAACACACAAGCAATTTCCATTCTCAAACTCTCAGACTTTGTCTTCTTTGCCCTCAGTACTGAAGGCAGTTGCTGGATCCCAGCTGCTGTCTCATGTTCAGGCTGCTTTTGTGAAGGAAAGGAAGTCCTTTCAGAGTTAAGAGTGGGCACATCTGTCACTAGTGACTGTGGACACTAGCATACGCAGGATGTGTCATAGCTGCTCTTCCTGTGTTAGCAAAGAGCACAGAGACAGTACTGCACCCTCCAGGATGAAAGAGATGCATTTGAAGCTGATAATCATCATTTACTCGGCCTCATGTTCTAAACCTGTATGACTGACTTCCTTCAGTGGAGCACAGAAGATGTTTAACTTCTTAAAGGGATAGTTCACCCAAAAGTGAAAATTCTGTCATTAATTACTCACCCTCATGGGACCACAACTTCCATTGGGGGAAAAGAAAAAAACTACATTTATCCAGAATCATGCAGTTCTATTTTGCACACAAACAGCTCTTAAAGAGTCCAGTTTTTATGTAGCCTGTTGATTTTTGTTCAAGGTATTCAGCTCCAATAAATGGTTTGCAAAAAAGAGACAGGATAAATATTTGATATCATTATTTAATCACATTGTAATCGAAAAGAATCGGAATCGATAAGCGGAATCGGAATTGA